GCTGAAATATCTACAAACTGCAAATTAATATATTAGTATTGGTAATTTTAATAGCAATTAGAAAAAGAGATTGTAACTTATAAAACAGAACATTTTAAAGATCAGAATAAATCCTTGAAAATAAAATTATGAAACATCAATGGCACTTTTGAATATGATCTATGTTCATAAATGACTCCTTGTATGATTTTTTATTTCAATTTAAAGTAGGATCCAAACAAATGGATCCATTTTGGTAAGAGAACACTATATCATTGGAGTTAGAGTAAAAGTCTAACCAATTTCTGAGTTTTCAGAGACTTTTTTTTTAATTTGGACATTTAAAAATAGAATATTTTTTTTTAATATATGCAAAAAATAATATTAAAAAAATTAAGCGAATCATTTGTATATTAAATATTTTTTGTTCATGAAACATGTCTTTTTTTGAGTTCACACTTAAAAATTTAAACATTTTCTTTTCTAAAAAGACTTCATGTTTAGTGCTGCTATAGTGAAATTTTTCCAGATCAAAACTTACAAAATTTTTCAAAATTCAGTAAGAAACTGGAATATATCAAAATTTTCATCTCTGCCACCATCATCATCAATCACATGACTGGATGTGGTCATAGGTTTGCTACACAGCTGAGCATCTGAGTCGCTGTGAATGATCTTCCATTCCACTCAGTGATGTTGCCATTCCATTCCTGATTCTTCAGGTGGCACCTTGTAGGATGACACTAGAAATTAAGAAGTCAAAGCACATGTTCATTTTAATAATATTTGAATACTTTCTTCATTTACCCACAGAAACTTGAGATTTATTTTTTTGGACACTGTTGGCTTAAAAGGCATCAAATCAATTAATTTCTAAAAAAAAAAAACCCTTTTGTTACATTTTCAACCTATCTATGCTTTGGCATCTGACAGGTTTTGTTAATCACAGTTCTAAAGAAAGGTCTAGGAAAACAAGATTAATTGGCTGATTTCATGACATGTCAACCCTTCTTGAGTTATTTAATGTTGATATGATGCACCTGGTGAGGATCAAACTCACTACTCAGTAGTAAATGTCAACCAGATTAGCCTTGCTAGCAATTATTCTATCCTGAGGTGCACAAAAAGAAACAAAAGTTAACAAATATACTTTTCTGATAAAAACATCTTCACCTCTACTGTATACTTTTTATTGTTATTTATTTATTATTTAAATACTAAATTAACCAATCAAGATAGAGTACTTCTTCATGGATTTACTTGGAGGAGCATCCTCATCTTGGTTGTCATAGTCCCAAGTCATAAGCTCAATCCTTAAGTTTAGTAGTACAAAAAGAAATTGTGTACAATGATTGAGTGAAAAAAAAAAGTCAACATAACAAGAATGAATTAACTAGAAAGAATTAACTAATACAAGGTATCCTCTTCTAATGAAGGGAAAAATGAGAATGCTTGAACCCTGTTGATTAACTAAAGGGTTCATTTCAAAATTCTCTGAAGGATACTAACTGTGAAAGATACCAAGAATGGTTAAAGTGTTCAAAAGCAAAAAAGGGAATTAGAACAACCAAGACTTAGACACAAAATGATTGGAAATTCCTCATTTCAAAAAAAAAAAAAATAATTCAGACAAGGCAGAATCAAAGAAACATCTTTTTCAAGTTGTGAACTCAAAAAAACAAAAATGAACAAGTATAATTGCTCCCAGTTTAAACCTTTTTGAAATTATTAAGATGTCATATCAAAGTAAAACTACTAAATTACAAACCATTTTGGGACTACACTGGTAGATAAGATTGAAGTTTATCATACAAATAATATCAAACTAACATCTTTCTGGTTTCTCAAACTGTGGTTAGATTTTTACAAGTTTAGTTAGTTCCCCCATTTATAGGTAGACATGGGGGAGGATTATCCTTCTTTTCATTTTTCATTTTTTTTTTTTTTTGTAGAAATTGTTTAGTTTTTATATAAAGTAGTTGATCTTATTCCATGTCTCAAAAAATCACATATGATTTTCATTGGTTTCATTTTATCATAATACATGTTTATATGACCACTACAATCCAGTAGATGTTGTTTCCATTATTATTATTATTATTATTATTATTATTTTCAAATTAATGTTTGTGATTTTGTGTTGAAAAAAAAACGTATTGAAATATAAGTTCTGATATTCCAGCGGTTCTTATATATATTTATATATATATATAATATTTTCTGTTTGCAAAGTTCTTGTCCTGAGTCAAAAAATGTTGTTTTTAGTTTTATAAGCATGCTATTGGATGTTCTATGATGATGTTAAAAAAGATAAAAATTTTGAAAAATTTCAACAAGAAATATCAAATGTTGAAAGAAAAGAAATGAAGAATAATGCAGTTCAAATCAATTTGAGACATAATTTGAATGCAAAATGACTTCTTTTAGACAGCTTGATAAAATTATTTGTAAATAAGAAAGATATATATTTATTTATGTACAATATTACAAAATAAATATGTGCAAACATTTTGTGAGGACTAACACTAGACATATTCCCAAGGGGTGAAAAAGGCACTATGGAAGATCATAGATGCATTACAACAAAGTAATATTTGGTGCTGTGAGAGAAATTGATTCTGCAAATAATTTTTAGAATTTAAAGTTCTGTTGTAAATTCTGCATGACAATACAAAGAAAGATAAAAAGTTAATTTAAAATATTCTTTAAAAATGTATTTCTTAAATTCATCCTAAAGAAAAATATAAATGTTTTTAGATTGAATATGAAAGCCAGAATTGATTTCTGTCTTATTTATTGTACATACTACACTTCTAAAAATTGTGTATAACTTCAAAAAAACACTTGATATGTAAGAATGGCAAAAGAAATTATGAATTATAGCACCAAACAGAAATCATAGCAACAGAAGATACTTCAAAAAAAAAAAAAGAGAAAATTTGAAAATCAGACATTTGTGAATGACTTAGCACTTTAAAACTCTCAGCACCATTTTGAAAATTCTACAAGTACAGAAGTGATGTTTACCAAATTTTTCAAATGTAAAGATTAACTCAGGAATTCATTTCAATATATTCTACATATTTAGATTTCTATCCAATATAAGAAACAATGATTAGAGAATCCAACTTTCTCTTATAAAAAGCAAATTTTTCTTCAGCATTTTTTATGGAATGACATGCAACTTTTTACTAATTACTCCATATTTTTTTGCTACCAGTTTAAATTGATGCCTTTTTTTTTCATATAATTAAACTGTACACTATAATTTTGGTAAAAGAAATATTTCACTGAAATATGTTGGAAAATTTCCAGGTTATCCTCTGAAATCAATCCAACAAAAACATACAAAAAATGGTCAAAATATGTGGAATAAAGAAAGCATCAGTTTAAACTGACATCAGGAGAATATGTATTTAATAGATACTATCTTTATATATCTAAATTATAACTATAGACTATAATTTTGGAAAGTGAAAATTTCACTGAAATATATTGGAAAATTTTCCAAGTTTTCTTCTGAAATCAAGAAAATACAAACTTTAAGCAAAATAGTTAAAATATATGGAAAAAGAGGGCATCGATTTAAACTAACAACAGAAGGTTATGAAGCAACTAAAACATCACAACATATGTATGCATGTATGTATGTCTGTGCATGTTCAAAAAATTTACATCTAATATCAATAAATATAACAGACTTAAATATAACATTATAAGTTATTTTTTAACTGCCATCTTCCTTCAGGATTTACATGATCATGTCTCTCCGCAGTTATTTTCCTTATTGTAGGTGAGTTGCCTTGACTTCTTAGGAAAGCATAGTAGAGTGATTTCTTGTTACCTTCTCCATGGTTTTAAATTCATAATTTTCCATCTCCTAGACTGGATGACACCAAGGGTTATAGGTACCAGTCTCTCCTGTTATGTATCTCATGAACCAGAGAGAAAAGTTGGTTTTCCTCAGGATATTAGTATGAAAATGAACACAACAAACTAGGCTGAGATTTGAACTTGGCTTGTCTATTCCAATTTCCATGACAATAACTATTACACTACTCACACATCATGATAGATATTATTTTTAGTAAGAATCTCCTTTACTTGAAGCAATTCCAAAGGATTTAATTCCCAAACAGAATTCTCTTTTACTGAGGGCCTGGCTTGCTACATTCATTTTCCTATTCTGGCAACTGATAGCAAACTCTGTTACTGCTGTATTCACAATATCTGATTAGTGGAAGTACTTGTATTTATGGCCTGAAAATATGGTTCAAAGACTCTTGGATTTTGAATTGAAGGAGATGAGCAAGATGGGTAATGACCACCTGTCTGTTTTTGGTCTTACAGGTCCAATAACAATATTAAAAGAAGTCAGTTATAAAAAAACGTAATTAATACCAAATATTTTCTTTATCTAAAACTTGAAAGTGAATATGAATAAAATTTCTTTTTAAATACAACTTTACTGAACACATCATTTATGTAGCCAAGTATATATTGGCATTGCTTTTGTAGTGGTGTTACCATTGTTGGCTAAATATACAGTGAGAGATAATATAATAATAGTATTGTGATACATGATATATGAATGGGGGGATAATGAAATTACAAACAATATTGTACAATTAACAAAGAAGTCTTAAGGAAAATAGAAAAAATAGCATCAGAAAGTGATATTTTAAATTTCTGGGACACATAATGAGGAAAGAAGACTCAGAAAATTTTACTGGACATACTGAAGGCAAAAACAGTAGGAGAAAACAGAGTGTAAACTGCCTAATGAGCTTCTTTAAATGGATGGCAAAACAGAGAGGGAGAGGGATAGTAAAATGGCAAAAAATTGCAGAAAAGCATGATTGCCCACATCCTGAAGTGATATGGCACATAGAAGAAGAATAACGAAATTTTATTGCCTTAGCAAACTAAATAGGGTTGTTTGATTGCTGGATTATTTTATGCCACTTATCAATGCTTTGTAGGTTATTTAATGACAAATCATATTTCAGATTGTAGATCACTTACAGTACCATGTGTTCCCAAGTGGTCTCCCATCTAAGTATTGACCAGGCTTGATGCTGCTTAACTTTTGGCGATCAAATGAGAACCAGTGTTTTCAGCATGATTTGACTGTAGGCAACTAAATAGAAATAATATAAAAGATGTAAATGGAGGTGTATATATAGAGATGCCTATATTCATAGATATATATGCGTAAAAGAATTCCTTGTTGGTTTGGTACAGTTATCAGCACAGAGCTTTTGTCTACTGTGTTGTGTACAATGCAACACAAGGTTAAGATGTTCAAATGAGTTGAATCAATACATGTCTTGTCCCTATGGCTTCCTGTAGATAAAGAAAGAGAAAAAATATAGAGACTCTGCCTTTTTCTTCTATACTGATTTTTGCCAATGCCTTCTAATGCTTGTTAGCAGAAGTTCCTTAACAGGCAAGTGGGATAATATCACATTATAATCAGTACTAATTAATATTGATATGTATAAATTAACATGTACAAATTAAAACAGTCATACATTTCAAACCTGTAGAAATACTGTTATTGGTATATGGACAAAAAAGAATAGTAAAGGGTCAAAAGATATTTAGAGCAACAAAAGACAGGACATTATGGAGAGATATGATCAATTTCATCCTGAAAGGGTATGTTATATAAAAGAAGAAATTAGGCACAGGTATGATTTAGCTGAAGTGAATAAATGTATTAACAGTAAGCACTAAGAAATTGTTCTTAATACACTTGACATTCTACAAATAACATAATTAATTGTACATGCACATACTATATATATAAGGATTGTCCAAAAAGTAATGCCTGTTCTTCTTTAGATTTTTTTCTAAGCTTAACACCCCAAGCAAGGTGGGAGTGTCACTAGCATGCAAGGTGTTACAGAGAGTGAAAGTAAGAGTAAAGAAGGGTGTTTGAGGAAAGGATGAAGAGAAGGACAGGGATCAAGATCAAGGCATCAGATGTTGATTGACATTACATTTGAATATTTGAAGATTATATTCATCAGGGAAGCAAGTAAGAAGAAGGGAGTTCCACTGTCAGGAAGTACAAGAGAAGGGTGGGACCGAGATGCCAACCTAGTAGCACACTTAAATTCATACTGTTAGGGCACCAGTGAATTTGTAGAAAAGACAGAGGGAAGCCACATCACATCTGTGAGAAAGTAACTGGAATCAAGATGCCAGGTCAGGATCTATCACATTGCATATCTGTCTTTGGATTTTGTTGAGAACCTTGAGATGAACAGCAGGGTCACCAGACCTTATATGGCAACAGTATTCACTGCAAGGATGAATGGTAGATTTGTAGAGTTGAAGGATGGCCTCGAATGAGAAAAACCTTCTGGCACAACACCGAGAAGTAACTTTCCTTGTGGTAAATGAAGCTATTGATTCAATGTAGTTGTTCCACCTCAGGTCAGTGGAAAACGTGAGATCAAGAAGGTACAGAGAGATGCTCTTATGAAATTGAACATCAGCCATGCTGATAGGAGGCAGGGAGGTTTTTCTCTGGTGGGTAAATGAGAGCAGTTACAACAGATTTAATAGTAGAAGTATACAAAGCATATCAAAATGAACACAAAAGACACAGGACTACAGATTTAGGCCTCAGCATAGTCTCCTTCATTCTCAATTCAATCAAATGAGAGTATTTATACCCACCTCATTAAAGATTCTTGGCTATTTTCTTAGCCATGTATGAGTTACCTCTTTCATCTAATCATTATTAGAGAACCATTGTCATCTGAGTGCAGCTCTAGAAACTTTTGGGAGTAACTACTCCCTGCTCCTTCATGAAGTCTGTTAGCATTTTAGGAACCTACTTTGCACAGACTTTTGAGTAACCTAAACTGCAAGTACAACCATGGTTCACCTGAAGGCTTTCACAGATTTTCAGATTTTTGATATCATGATTCTTCTATTGAAGAGAACCAGCCTAGTTGGACTTATTCTCATTCATGGCAGCAGCAGGCCTGCCACTGAAAGGCCTTTCACAAATCTATTAGAAAAATCCAGAACATCAGTTGGAGATCCCATGCAATGCTTAACACAATTTATGGAGAACTGAAACCAATCTTTTAATCACAAATAAAAACGATTACAGTTTGCTGGCCCCTGCCATTGAGCAGACAAGTAAATCACCTCATCCTTACTTCTATGGCATCCTTCTGGAAGTGTCTTCTCACAAAAATAACTTCCTCAGACACCACAACTCAGGACTCAGGGTTGGATATTGGGGATCTGGGGACAGCAATATAGGATCAAACAGTGTGGAAAGGAATTGTCAATGGAGTTTTGATCAACCATAGTGAGGTTGAAGGATGATAATGAAAGACCTTTCACTAAAGTCAGTTTCTCTTTCTTTTTTTCTATGATTGTAATTAATTCTAAAGCCCTATTAAGTTTTTATATAAAGTGCATCCTTTCTATAAGCATTCATTAATCTCCTGGGAATGTTTGTAACACTCTCACCTTCCAAAAATAGAAATTCTATGACATCTCTTTGCTTTCTACATTTGTCCAGAAAGCAGCCATTTTGAAATAGTAATATGGTTAGGAAAAGAGAAGGTAACTCCACAAACTTTAACCTGGCCTTCTAAAAATTTTATCATTCAGATAGTCAGTTTCGTGCCATACGTGATATGCACTTGGGTGATCATGTCTCTTTCACTTCATGACTAACTAGGTAGAAGATTTTCTTGCAGTAGGTTACCACTTCTTTCTGCAATAAACTGGTTGCCAACCAAGGCTATAGGATCCAGTCAGTATTGCTAATTAGCCCATAACTGGAGGGGAGATGAGATGGTTTTATACTTTTCCCAAGGGTATTTGTGCATAAGTAAATGCAATGAACCCAACTGGAATTCAAACTCATCTCTCTAATTTCTACTGCCAAGATAAAAAAAATCAATAAAACCCGAAGAATTCTAATGTTTTTAAAATTGAATTAGAACATGCATCGCTTTTTGACTAACCCTTACATGTTAATGTAGATATTTTTGATTGTGAAGCATTGGTAATTTATAAATTTTCCAAAATGTCTATTTTGAGAATCTTGAACTTTCTGGAATTTTCATGAAGACTGAAAAGCAAAAACTAAGAAAATAAAATTTTTATTTACTGTACACTAGTCACATACTTTCTTAAATATTTATTTAATAAAAAAACCTTCTTTTTTTAATTTGAAAATTAAGATTTCCAGAAAAATGCTATGTGAGTAATTTGCTTTCCAGTTAAAATAAATATATATTCCATTATTATCCATGAATATTGTTGTAGCATACCCACGGACGATAATGGGTACGTCCCCATTCACATAAATACAGTTGTAAATACTGTATGTTGGTCTTCAGTTGGAGATTCATTGTGGAATTCACTTGACTCACTTCTAGCAGTTGACTACCACTTTTATGCACTGCTGGTGAATCTTATATGTGTTGTTCTTGTCCTAAGTATTATCATTCATTACCAACTTTCATTTGATTATTCTATTCAGTAACCTTCCTTAGGTTACAACAGTTATGAAAAAACTGTGTTCTGCATTTGTCACCAAGGAAAACATTTTTAAGCCTTAAATTATCAAGAATGTAAAGCCTATTTTAATAGTAAAAATATATTTAACCTTTTTTTTTTTTAAATAAGGTACTCAGATGAAGTATAATTATGTCGGATCATTATAACTTTGAAATGTTATGTTTTCTTCAATTAAAATAATACCTCTAAATATTATTTTATGAAGTCTGGTTAATGCAAACAGAATTCAAAGTACATTTTTCAAAATCTTTTTCAGGTATTTCTTTGTTTGCAATACTGTCTCAACTTTGTTTTGTCCTTTATAAGTTGTATTTAAGGTCATTCTTTGCTTTTGCAGTACCAATATGGGCAATCATATTAATATGCGCTGGAGTCTTGCTTTTCTTGGTCTGTGGGACGTATTGTTGCTGCAAACGTATATGCAGGAGGAGAAAGAAGAAGGATGGCAAAAAAGGGCTCAAAGGAGCTGTCGACCTCAAAAGTGTACAGTTACTGGGCAACTCTATCAAAGAAAAGGTGAGAAATTAACTTATCTGAAATTTTTTTTTAATATGTTATCTACAGATTTTCAGAACTTTAGAACTGCTAGTGACTTTCTCCAAAAAATCTTAAATCTTTCTAACTATACTAATTATTCTGCAAGCAACCAATCTAATTATATCACTTCCTTTCCATGCTAATTTATCCAAAACTTTAGTCATTAAAATCTAAATATTTACCAATCTTATTAGGTTGGTGCAAAATAATGTCATTTTTGACGTTAAGTTGAACGTCAAAAATGACATTATTTTTGCACCAACCTAATAATTTAGTACAGTACAATATCAAAAGTCTAGGAAGGCTTCTAATTCCATTAGTAATGGCCTAAAAGGCTAGCTTGCTAACCATTATGCAAAGGCAAGGTCTCCAATTCATTGGAATTTAAATTAAAATGATTAAATTAAAAATTTTTAACATATCCCTTCACCTATTTAATTATCATGTTTCCCCAGCTTGAAGGATTCTCCCACTCCACTAATTTTTGACTTTCAAAATTTTGAAAAGAAAAACTAAAAACATAAAATTAAGTAAAATAAAAAAATAACATTCTTCCTGAAGGGCATAAGATAAATTTTCAAGACAGCATCTCTAGAACCAGGAAAATAAATTAATAAAATTGTTTCCATAATTACATAATTCAATAAACCTATTTCTAGATTGTAAAATGAAATAATGCTGATATTACTAGGTTATAAAATGAAATAACTCTGATATTACTAGATTGTAAAACGAAATAATTCTGATATCATTAGGTTATAAAATGAAATAACTGATATTACTAGGTTATAAAATGAAATAATTCTGATATTACTAGATTGTAAAACAAATTAATTCTGATATTATTAGTTTGTAAAATGAAATAATTTTGATATTACGAGGTTGTGAAATGAAATAATTCTGATATTATTAGGCTGCAAAATGAGATAATTCTGATATTACTAGATTGTAAAAATAAATAAATTTACTAATTAGTATGATTAAATATTTTTGTTTTAAAATAAAATAATTCTAATCTTATTACTTAGTAAAATTAAATAATTATATTCTTACACATTAATAAAATAAATAATTCTATTTCTAAAAAAAATGCATAATTTTACTATAAGTAATAAAATTAAATATTTCTATAGATAGTAAATTTAAATATTTCTACTACCTGTTGTAAAATGTAATATTTATAATATTATTAGATAGTGAAGTTCAATAATTTTACTCTTACATAGTTATAAAATTAAATAATTCTACTATTACATGGTAGTAACTTTGAATAATTCTAATATTAATAGGCAGTAAACTGCAATAATTCTGCTGTTACTAAATAGTAAAATCAAATAACTCTATTATTAGGTCGTAATAATAAATAATCACCATACTATATAGTAAAATTGAATAATTTTATTATTATTAGGTTTTTAAATCAAATACTTTTGTTTTTACTATCTATAGTGATTAAATAATTTTATTAATGATTGTGTCACTAAGTAATGCTCATATTACTTGTTAGTAAAATTAAATAATTATACTCTTACTTAGTAGTAAAATAATTCTATTTTTTATAGTAGATTTAATTCAACTATCATCAAGCAGTAAAATTTTATAATTATAGGCAGTAAAATTACATTATTCTTGTTCTTCAATGAAATCCTTAATTTGAAGGTTTATTTATTTAACATTAGTTTTCTTATAATACTTTATATAATGTAATAACCTTATCTTTCTTTTAATGATGATATAATGTTAATTTCTTAAAACATCTAACCCCCCAAAAAATCAATAATCCAGTTTGTTATCATGAAACTTATTTATTAATAGAATTTATAAAGAGAAAAATAGGACTTTATTAGATTCTCAGAAAACATCCTTAAGATAAAAAAAAACAAACTTCCAAAGAATATATTCTTCTGGAAAAGAGTTTTAAAAAGAAAAAATATGGAAAATTCTGCCAAATAAAAAATTAAAATTGTTAAATATGTAGCATAAAATAAATGCTTAAAATATGTATGAAAGACAATTTTCTGTTTCTTGATAAAACAAAAGCAGCAAGAAAAACAAAATGGCTAAATATTTATTAATATTTATATTTAAAATCTAAGCTTAAAAGTTATTTCTTTTAGATAATTTGTAATGGAAGAGTCTCAGCAATATATTTATGTCACTATTCAGTTGTTTGTATCACAAAATTTGGAGTTACATAAAATGTATTCACTTAAAAAAAACTTTATAATATTAAATTTTAATTATTTATATTATTCAATATCTTTGATAGCTTTAATTTTGCTATTAGTGATTTTTTTCTGCTATGTTTATTTAAAGTGTTTTTAAAATTTGATTATTAAGAAAAAGTCTTTTAAAGTTTGTTTTTTAACATTTTGTATTTTAGCAATTCAAATATTTATTTTGTAATTTATTCATTATCAATACAATATTTTTCCAATATCATTTATACTAACACCATACAAGGTAACATTTTTATTTACTTAATGAATCTGAAACTGATATGTTCAACTTTAGATTTAATTAAAAATGATATTAAAGTGTATATATGAATTTTATGTAAGTCAACAACAGTTTTTACAAAAAATATATTACATCTTGTCAGCTGATAATGAAAAGCATTTTATATATAGTAATAAGTTTTATAAACAAAAATTACATATGTTACATCTTTTGTGTACAAGTAAATACTTATTGTTAAATTAAATCTGATTATTTGCTACCATTATTTAAAATTGTTTGACACAAATACAGTTTTATCCAGTATTGTTCAATCATAAACTTGAAGAAAAAAAGACTTATCTAGTATTCAGAGAATAATGTTTGAACCTCTCCTGTGGTCAAATTGTTTAACTCAGCAACCTTCCTTGAAATCTTCTAATTTTTATCATTGATGCTTTTATAACTATTTCTTCTCTATATAGCTTAGATAAATTTATTTACAATAGATAACTGTGTATTTACATTATAAGCAAAAGATGCTCTGTGAAAAACAATATATATATATGAATAACAAGAGGAGAAATTATTCTTAGTTGACACGTTTCATTCTCTGAGGGATTTTATGAAGGCAGTGTAGAATTTATTTTGCTGCAAGTGTTTATATACAAAGGCAAGGATGTCATTGATTTATCAAGGCTTTTAAATTTGAGAACATTTGTGAATGTTCATCAGGTGGTTGAAAGGTCAGAAAGGTCACTTACTTTTTGCCAGACTTTGAATTATGATACTTTGTGTCCTCAACATTCTTTGGCTGACCTTTCAACCACATGATGAACATTCATGAATTTTCTCAAATTTAAAAGCTTTGAATAACCAATGACATCCTCACCTTAATATATAAACACATGCGGCAAAATAAATCTACACTGCCTTGATAAAGCCCCCTCAGAGAATGAATGTATCAACTAAGAATAATTTTTCCTCTCTTGTTATTCATTTTGTCACCTCTACAGATACACTCTAAATATACATACACACACACACACACACACATATATATATATATATATATATATATATATATATATATATATATATATATATATATATTAACCATACATATATACTTTCATATGTGCCTGTATGTATTTTACTGTCCTCAAATGGTACCCATGGAGGTTATTTTGGCATTACTGTATTTGTGTTAATCTTTAATACTATTTTCTTGATTGTCTTAATGCAAATTATCTTCTGTACTGTGTACACATTTATTCCTGATCCCTTTTGCTTTTCAGTCTGGTTCTAAATATTCAATGTTCCTTACATGAGAAATGTTTCAAAGATTTTGCTTATTATATATAACAAATCTCAAATTAAAATATGAAGTGTAACATATGTACAAATTTTTATTTGTAAATATGTATTTATGACAGCAAGTGCTGGAAATATGACTAGTTTAATACAAAGCCTATAATATATGAAATTATTACAATAATTCAAGTATTAAAAGTCGTGAAGTAAGAAAATATTAAAACGGCTTAGTCAAAACAAGGCTTTCAGATACAATATATCAGTGAAACTGCAGATGGTATCACAATTATCAGAATGGAAGTGGAACCATCAAACCAGGTACAAATTCCTGTTGATTTTGTTTTGTTCCCTTTGTACTAATACCCTTGGGAAAAAAACAGCTATGGGTTAAATAGTAGACTAGACCAGCTTCTCTTGTCTATGGTTGTAGCCAGTGAAAGAAAAAGAAAACTCTGAATTCAAACATCAGGAAGGCTGTTTGGTAACTTCATAGCTCATTTTCTCTGTTATCAATTGGGCTTATGGCCATGTAAGATTGAAACACTGGTTCCCATATGATCACCAAAGTTAAGCAATGTCAAGACTGATCAGTACCTAGATGGATAACTGCTTGAGAATACCAGGTACTGTAAGCTTGGATGTGCAGGTGGTATAATGGGCTTATGGCAATATCACATTGAAAAATTGGTTCTCATATGATCACTGAAGTTAAGCAACATCAAGTATGGTCAGTAGCTAAGATGGGTGACCGCCTGGGAATAACACTTGTTGTAAGCTTGGATGTGAAGGTGTAATGGGCTTATGGCCATATTGAAACACTAGTTCCCATACAATCACCGCAGCTAAGCAATGTTGAGCCTGGTCAGTACCTAGATGGGTGACCACTATAAGTTTGCATATTTTGGTGATGTAATGGGCTTATAGCCATATCATGTTGAAACACCAGTTCTCGTATGATTACTGAAGTTCAGCAATGTTGAGCCTGGTCAGTACCTAGATGGGTGACCACTTGTGGATACCAGTGCTGTAAGCTTGGATATGGGGCTGGTGTAGTGGATAATGACTCAGAATTGTTAATCAGAGAGCTGAGTACCAATTTAAGTTGGGTTCATTATATTCACTGATGTGTAAATATCCTTGAAAAAGGTATGAATCCACCTTCCCCCCCCCAGCTATGGGTAAGTAATTAGTAAGATTTGTATCACTAAAGCATTATTATCTCCCAAAAAATAAATTTTTACAATCTAAAAATATTTTCTGGCTTTAAATAAGCTGCAGTCAGTTGATAAGCTGTAAAAAAACAAATCAATCTGTTATCAGTTCTTTTGAAAATTATGGCTCATTCTACATAAGCCTTGACCATTATAGTCAAGTCATCTGTGTTTAGCAATTCAATTCTAAAACTTAACTGTTGGGCTATCATATGTTGAAATGAATGGGAAACTCCATAATATATTCAGGCATTAAATTTTGTAAAAAAGATATAAACATAAAGATGAATATATAGATTTTTATGTAAAACTGAGAACTGTGAAAGAAGTAAACATATTAAGTCAGTTACTGAGTAGAATTTGTTGTAATTCATGTTGTAGAATAGTGTTGAAGTGATATTGCAAAAAACTTAGCTGTGTTGAAAAGGCTATATGGTAATGCTGGGGGATGGAGTTTTCTAAAAGACTCTCCTATCCAGAGAAACTAGTCTTGGGATAATAAAGAAGTGGAGCTTCAATGAAGAGACACAAGAAAGCTTTGAAAATGAGCCTCACTTCCATCAGTGGAAGACCAAGGTAGCTGACAGAGTAACATGGAAGCACAAAATCTGTCAAGCAACTTCCCTTACTGATACAAAGTCTATCAGACAATCTCCCTTTGCTGACACAAGGTCTATCAGCCAAACGTTTTTGTTGGCACATGATCTATCAGGCAACATCCTTTGCTGACACAAGATCTATCAGGCAACTTCCCTTCCTGAATCGAACTGCAGAAAAAGAGCAGAAGAAACAGTGTCATATGGTTGATGTCAAATCCTCTCCACCAATCAGTGAAAAAACATCTTTTGTGTATAGGTCCCATAATACATCTGCAAAAGGCATGGAAAAAATCTTTCCCAAAATTTTCTGAAGTTTTGTTTATAGAGCCAATCTATGAGAAGACTATGTTCTGATATGTAGTAAACTAATATGCTTAAGTTATATAATAAACTAATATATTATGGTATAATTCTAATTTTGATAGACTATAAGTGGTTTGAGGTACTATACTGATTATAAGCAGCGAAAAATGAATTCAGCAAAATGTGTTCAAATTTCCTTCAGGAGCAGATTGTATTTACTTAGCACTAATGCCTATGGCAATGAAATGAATCCACAGTCTCACAGTTCTGTCCCAGGTATCTCAACAGAAAAATATCTCTTTTCTGGCTATCAGTTTATAGTCGATCAGGAGAAGAGTTGTTAAGAGAGTATCTGTGAAAACCACTCCTCCATAACAATCTTACTACCTCATCAATGCTAAAAAAGAAAACCCTTGATATGGGTCATTTGAAATAAATCAAAAGCCTCATCGTCATTTATTCAGTTAGTACATTTTACACCACTGTGGTCACCACTCCCTCCATCTCACAATTCTGGTTCATGGTGACATTCAAGGCTGAAAATTACAATGGTTCCTTTTGCACCAGGGATGCAATGGTTACCCCATCCCTCCTGTGAAGTTAAAGAGGCAGGACCTACAAGTTAGCAGTCAGTCAGTTATGTGCCATGCATGATACACACTTAGGCAATCATGTATCTTTCGATACATGACTGACAAGGCAGATTTTTTTCCTGCAGTAGGTTGTCATTTCTTTCTGTGATAGACCAGTTGCCATTCAAGGCTATAGAAGCTGGTCTGTCCTGCTATTTATCCATAGCTGGGGGGAGAAGAAAAGGATTCGTGCCTTTCCCAAGGGTATTAGCACGTAAATGAATGGATACAATTGGAATTTGAACTTGGCTCTCCAATTCCTCAATCTGAGCCACTATCCATTACTCCACCATGCCTTTGAATTCAGTTTTCCTTTTCCAAGACTAGTTGCCGTCAAAGGCTACAGAGCCCAGTCTGTCCTGATATTTACCCATAGCTGGGGGGAAGAGATGGATTCATACCTTTTTCAAAGGTATTAGCACAATAGTGAATGCAATGAACCCGACTAGAATTCAAACGCAGCTCTCCAGTTCTCAAATCCAAGCCGCTATCCATTACTCCACTGTGCCTCCAAAATATTTGTATATATTTTTATTACATCCTAGCTTTGTTTTTTTATCCTAATGAATCTTCAGAAAATAACTGACACATTTGATTTTATGATTAAATTCCAGCCTCATGCATTGTTAAATCAAGAAGATCAAAACAGCCATAATTAAATCTTTTTCTACTGAGTTGCAATGAAGAATAATTTTTGTCGTTCTCTTGTAATGAACATTCAAATCTCACTTATACATTTAAATCAATTAAAATAAAATACATTACTGGGCAAAAATCATCCAGTTAATCCAGTGTGTACACAAATTTCTCATGAACTTGATATGCTCTTTACATGTTGATAATGTTAATATATTTCATTCAAAATTAATTCCAATATTACAGTATTATCTTTATTTTTATTCCATGAAGCATTATCACCCATGGTTATTAATCTTTTGCTAGTATTTACTTCAATTTTAGACTGACAGCCTGGATAAATACTACAAGAAAAAAACACCAATAATTAGATACTAGTTGAAAATTGATAATAATAGTTATTAGAATATTAGAATTAGAATTATTTTTAAAAATAGGAAAGAATTGTAAACAATTGTTTCTGTTTTGTTTTCTGTTTGCTACTCACATCTTCATGAAACAAACTTCATTAATTATTTCAATGTTGGTTATTTTTGCAATTTACTTAGATATATAAACAATTCTGTGTGTTTACTTTTGCGTGATAATAAACACTTATACAGAATAAAGAGAGAAAAACTTGGAAGTTACCAAAAGATCATAGATTTTACAAACATTCTTTCAGAATTGAATTTGCTGATATTATTACTAAACTGTGCATTGCTGTGACCACAGGAATTTGCTTGCAGGTATATGGGATGCAACAAAATGATTATCTTTAATACTGACCCTAATTTGACTGCCAATAAAAAAGGAATGTACTTCTCTGTTATTGGTTATGGCAGGAACTCTTATTTATAATTGCAGCATCTGCAAAATCTCCAATTAAAAATTGGCAAGCAAAAATAAATTAATTATTATTAATTTTTTAATCATATTCCATCTTATTTTTGTTGCTTTTAGAGAATAAACATTCTGTTTGACAATAGAAAGACAATCTGAGAATTTTGATAAAAACCAAAAGAAATAAGAATAAAATAATAAAAAGATAGAAAAAAAACTAGTAAAAATATTAACAACAGATTTGAACTTGTATGAGAAACTTGTTTGTTTGGGGTTGTTACTTTATTAATTAGGTCACAGAAATCACTGGCTACAGAAAACAATCATGTATATCATTTATTTACAGTCTATGTTGCTTACTAAAGATTACAGAATGATTGTCTGAGATTCAGAAATAAGATTAAAGAAATAAGCAAAAATTGATAACTGACAATGTGTTGTCTAAGAAATTGGAATATTATGTCTAATATTCAGTTATGTGCCATGTGTGATACATGCTTAGGCGATCATGTATCTTTCGATATACAACTGACAAGCCAGATTTTTTTCCCGCAGTAGGTTGTCATTTCTTTCTGTGGTAGACCAGTTGCCATCCAAGGCACCCAATCTCCCCTGCTATAGCTTCTCCTGCCCCCATAGCTGGGGGGAGAAGAAGAGGATTCATACCTTTCCCAAGAGTATTAGCACATAGCACATAAGTGAATGTAATGGATCCGAGTGAAATTCAAACTCGGCTCTCTGATTCCTCAATCCAAGCCGCTATCCCTTACTCCACCATATAGATGAAATAAATACTAGTAAAAAGTTAATAATAATGATAATGCTTAATCTAAGAAATTCTAATAAAGATAACTCACTGAATATTGTCTTGATTCAATAATTGAAGACATATTGTTATAATGAATCTGTTTTGATGGCATTGCCAGTTGTATGTATAAAACCTGATTTTTATAATGTCTTTGTCTCTTTATTTGAATTATTTTATGCACATCATGCAGCTCATGGCCTTTGCACCCTTTTATTTATTTTTATACATACTGACATACTTTTGCCTGCATTACAATTTTTCTTACATGTTCTGATATACTGTCTGCACACATGTGGTTTTCTTCCATGTCTGGATTTGTGTTTTTCTTTTTTCTTACCTACAATGCAAGTCACAATTTTTTTTATCCTTTTATCATCACTTCATCCATTCATTTAAGCCAATTTATTCCTCCTTCCAAGTTAAGAAATATGCACTTGCTATAATGTAGTCTTACTGTACAATAGATTAGTAAATGCATGTATTAATATACACATTCTTATTTATATGTCAATAGATGATTCATTTTTTTCCCTTTTTTTTTTAACAAAGTTGCTTGCTTTCTTTCACTGCTGCTTGAGAAAGCACTTACTTTTTTATCTACAGTGACTGTCATGTGTAAACAGCTAAATATTAAAACTGTATAGTCCTGCATTTCAGAAATCAAAACCAATTAAACCCATTAGATTTATGCAGTTATAGGATACATCAAAAGAAAAGTCATAAACAAAGAACATACATATTAACTATCTAATGGATTACCCAGGTATTTAATTCCTTAATGATTTATCCTGAGTACAGATTTTCTAAATATTTTTTTTTGTTTAATCATTTCATCCCATGCAATGCAATAAAGCAACTAAGACACAAGGGGTTATTGAGTGTTAGAGAGTATGGGGAAAAAACATTATTAAAGAGAGAGAACAATAAAAGAACAGGAATTAAGAAGACAGAAGATAAAAATTTATTTTGACCTGAACCCCAAATTTTTGTACATCATGTTACATTTGAAAGTAAGAATGA